AAAGAGTGGGCATTCCAGATGAGGGGAACAGGTAATACCACTCACAAAACTGTAGAAAAATTAGCAGGCTACGTGGGAATACTGGCTTGATTGGTACTCTAAATTCCGTTTTGGATTAGTAATAGAAACTATTGGTTGGGTAGCGTGGAGATAGGTTAAGGAATCAGTACTTTTTCCCGAGGGCAACAAAGTCTAAGGATTTTTGAGTACGGGTGAGCTTTTATTAAAATTGAAATATAGTTGATATACAATGTTGTGGTAGTCTCAAGTGTACAGCATGGTGATTCAGCTTTTGTTCTTTGTGGGGTTTTTTTGCAAATTATATTCTATTGTAGGTTATTCCAAGATATGGGGTGTAATTCCCTGTGCTATGCAGTATATCTTTGTTGATTATCTACTTTATGTATAGCAATTTGTGTCTGTTAATCTCATAGTCCTAATTTGTCCCTCCCACCCGGTCCCATTTGATAACTGTAAGTTTGTTTTCTATGTCTGAGTCTGTTTCTGTTTTATATCTAGATTCATTTGTATTAATTTTTAGGTTCCACATATAAGTGATATCATGATATTTGTCTTTCTTTGACTTATTTCACTAAGCATAATATTCTCTAGGTCCATCCACGTTGCTGGAAATGACAATATTTCATTCTTTTTCATGGCTGAGTAATAGTCCATTGTATATATAGACCACATTATCTTAAGCCATTCATCTGTTGATGAGCACAGGGGTTGCTGCCATGTCTTGGCTATTGTAGATAGTGCTGCTATGAACATTGGGGTGCATGTAACTTCTTGAACTAGAGTTTTCATTTTTTCCAGATGTATACCCAGCAGTGGAATAGCTGGACCATATGGTAGTTCTTTTTTTAGTTTTTTAAGGAATCTCCATGCTGCTTTCCATAGTGGCTGCACCAATTTACATTCCCACCCACAGTGCAGGAGGGCTCCCTTTTCTCCACACCCTCTCCAGTGTTTATTATTTGTAGACTTTTCGATGGTGGCCATTCTGACTGGTGCGAGACAATTCCTCATTGCGGTTTTTATTTGCCTGTCTCTAATAATGAGCAATGATGGGCATCTTTTCATGTGTTTGTGAGCCATCTGTATGTCTGCTTTGGAAATGTCTATTTAGGTCTTCTGCCCATTTTTTAAAATTCAGTTGTTTGTTTTTTGATATTGAGATGTATGAGCTGTTTGCATATTTCGGAATATTAACCAGGAGTGAGCTTTTGAACAGAATACTTCTGTTTCTATTTCCAAAAATACGTAGAGGGAAAAAGAGAAAATGAAGCCTATGTGCTGGTTTTTATTCTTAGCAGCTGAAGGCACCCTGCCATCCCCAGGTGCTTCATCCACAATATACTTGCCAAATTGCTACCAGATTACTTCATCCCTTGCTCACTCGATTTCCCCAGGACGCTACTGCTTAAAGGGTAAGTCCAAACTCCTTAGCCCAACATTCAAGACTCTTTAAACTTCGACCCCAGTATACCTCTCCAAAAAAGCTCACTTTAAGGAAATTAAAACTCTGGCCAAATGGTCTATAAATTCCGAATAGGCCACAGCATCTCCCACCTACTTTCTCTTGCTTACACGGTTCTTTCTCCCTGGAATGCCTCATTTCTTCTGTTTACCTCTGTAAGTTCTACCCAGGTTTAAGGTCTAGTGCAAACCCCATATTTGCTAGGAAGGCTGTTCATACAACGCAGACAATTCTTATTTTCTCTAACTTTCCTCTGGCATTTAATACAAGCTGCCTTAGTAGAAGTTACCCTTTTAGGTAGGGGGCTACATACCTCTCAAGCAGGAACCTGTTAGTTTATAAATTCTTAGCAGCCCCAAACTTTCTCAGCACAAGGCCTCGTATATATACCATTAGAGTCGACAACAGTTAGTAATAATGACCACCCCTTTGGTTTGAAATTGTTAACCAAATCTCCCCACCCATGGGTAGCTAGATTGGCTTCTCCACTAAGGCCGCTACGACCCACTAGGGAAGGAAGACAACGTCAACACAAAGGATCGATCGCTACTCGCGACGTCTAATGCAATATAGTGAGTAATGCGTGGTTGGGTCATGAAACGCTTCCGGAGGACCACGCGGCCTCGTCTCTCACGCTCCAGGGGGTAAAACAAACAAACAAAAAAAACCGCTTCGCGCAGCCGGCAGCCCCAGGCTGACTGGAGGGAGGGCTGGAGCTTCCTCGCCGCCGATTGGCTCCCTGGAGCCGCCGCCTCCGGTGATTGGCCACTGCCGCGAGGGACGCCGGGACGGCACGCGGCGAGGCCTCACATTCAAGGCGGCGACGATGGAGGCCGCGGTATCCTCTTGCGGGCGTTTGGAGAGTAAGGGCCAGGTCTGGGGAGCCGCCGAGAACCTGTGCAGCCGGTGTGGAAGAAGGTCGTCCGGAGCTCCGGGTGAGGGGCTGGGGGTCAGCCCACGGCCCGCCGGCTGGCGGGGAAGCCGAGGGACAGG